GTGTTAGCTAGCTATATCGCCCGATAGTAAATAACCCAATTCGAATTGCTAGCTAGGTATATCGGGTAGTATATTGAGTTAGCTAGCTAGATCGCCCGATAGTCGATATTTTTTTTCTCCTTGGGTAGGTATGCAAAAGTTGAGGTGGAGCCGGAAGGAGTCGGAGCTGCCCATCTCTGATTAAAACCAAATCTTTTTCGAACAGCTGCTGCAAAAATATATCAGGAAAGACTAGGTAAAAGAATAAGGATTTTAGAAAACCTCGTAGTTTGTCAACGGACTCTTGAGGAATTGGTACACGTCCAGATTTATCACCACGAAAATCTGGTAAATAACCATTTGTGTATTGTTCATCTGTTAAAACAATACGTGCAGCCGATAATACGTATCTACTAGCTGTTTTGCCAGGTAATGTCATTAAATTCACATTGTTTACGACCTGAAACAAAAAACTCTTTCTATCTTTGAAATGATTCAACTTGCACTTACTAATACTTCATTTGATGGTAGTGGATTAAATTTCTAGAATTAGAAACAGCAAAAATTTTAAAACTTTTCACCTAATTTTTCTAAGCTATTCAAAATCCACTCACTATTTATTTAGTCTTTAACAATTTTATGTTGTGAAACTCTATATTGAACACTGGAATTACATGTAAATATTCTATGTAATACTTTACCTTACTTATATCCGATGCTCGTTTCTGCATCACATACATCTTTGTCATCATCTTTTTCAAATCTCCCAAATTATTTTAAACCACTTCTGCTACTTTTTTTTCAATATTTGACGATAGAAGTACATTCGATGGTGACGATTGCTCGATAGAAGGTTCGTCGTCAGGTTTGAATTTTTTTGATGTTGGTTCGACGTTGAAATTATGAGTACGTTCTAAATTAAATTTGTTACATTTTTATATGTGCTGCAAAACTAGTCTAACTGAAAATCGTTGTGGAAATGCTTTTACCTTAGTTGAAACAATATCAATAGAAATAGAAAATTTATTTGATAAGTACACATTGACACTTAGAGTTTTGACATGTTTTACAAAGTTTGATTAGTCTTCTATTTCATGAGAAAATTAAACATGTATAAAATGATGCTTTTCATTCTATAATTTTACCCTCACTATTTGTATAGATCCGAAAAACATAGTTTTCTATAGTGAAAGCATTTTTATTGTGCCGAATTTATATTAATTTTTCGCTCACAATTTGATTACTAAACTTACAAACGAATGCAATTTTCTATCTTATTTTTAAAGAGCTGCATTGATGTATTTTTGATTCTGTTCCGAAAGGAAATGCAAAAGACTTATTTTGATTCAATCGGACGTTTGAAGCTCATAAAATGAATAATTCCAAAAATACGTGATCAAGTTGAAGATCAGTTTCAGTATATATGCAAAATCTATTCCTTAACTCAGCACAAAAACAAATTTTGACCTTTGCCTGATTATAACTCAATACTGGTCCAGGACAGACTTTTTTTTGTTCTCTATGTTTTTTCTCTAAGTTTATCCTTTTCGTAATAATACGTTTAAAATCCTAATGTATAAATATTTTGAATAATAACATCATTATGGTGATAATTTGAAAATAATTACTGTTTTCGACTCTTAGAAAAACAAACTTTCTTCTTTGTAAAAAAAATTACTTACTGCTACAACTAACGATGGATTTGTTGATATCTTCCAATATTTCATTTTCTTCTTCATCACTTGAAATAATATCAGGTTTGTTTATTGTCTTGATCTTGTTCTTCACAATACGATTTTTTTTGACTCTTTCAAAGATGTTGTTGTTTTCTTGTTCCTACAATGTTTGAATAAAGAAGGCTACAAAGAAGTAATAGATAAATATCTCACATTATCACTGCCACTAATACTACTGTCTTCATTATCAGAAAGCTCGGTTTCAGCCGAAGATCATTGTTTGTTACTGGTAGAGATTGACTTTTCCAATTGTTCTTGAGCTTTTTCGCAATCTTGCATTGTCCCTTTAAATAGTATTAAAAAGTGTGCATTTACTGATGAAAAATAAGTAATCATATACCTTCTTTTTCAATACGACAATCAAACCACTGCTTCCCAAATTTAGCTTCAAAACCAAAACGACCTTTTGACCGAATCAAGTGTTCGGCCCAGATTCCATGAGTACCCTCTGATGGAAATGAAACAAGAAAAAAACGTTCCGTCAGATTTGTCTTGTGACGTTTTGCTAAACAATAATTTTTTGGCGGCATGAAACTGACCTTGAACTGCTATCTACTAATATTTAAAAATAAAAAAAAACGATCAAACGCATCTACAAAGAAACAATTAGATCGTTTGATCAACATATATCCAATCAAAAAATTCTGTGCCGAAAAAGCAAATAATCATAACGTTCACAACATATGTGAATAATTTCTTTAATGATTGATTTTATTCACAACCTAAATCACGGAGAGTGCATTTTAATGATAAACTTGGTCTAAAAACGACTTTTCAATGATCGGCGCCAGTGTGCGACGTGTGATTTTGATCGAAGCCTTTCTTTTATTCTTGTCAGGATCCTTAGTAGGATCGAGAGCGAATCCTAGTAGGATCCTGCATTGTCAATTCAGAAAAGAATCTGAGTAGGCACTTGAAGAAATCCTGAAAAGGATCCTGCTTAACAATGAGAAAATCCTGCAAACAGGAATAAGCAGGATTCGAGACAGGATCCTCGAAATTCAGGATCCTGTAAGATCCTTTCAGACTTTCTCAAGAAATGAACAAGATTGAGATTAGGGCGTATATTGTCTCATCAAGATCCTTATTAGGATTGACATTGTCTTGCACGGTCTCGAAACGGATATTCTTTAAAAGTTCTGAACAAGATCCTGACTGAAGCTTCGCAGGATTAGTCAGTTTCGTATTC